AGATGACCCCCAGAGGTCCCTTCCAACCCCGACCATGCTGTGATTCTGGGTCCCCAAGGCGGCTGCGGGCAGCGCGCGCCTTCCTGCCGGGAAGGGACAGCGCACCGAACTGTATTTACTGTACGCAAGAGTAAAGGACGACAAAGACATGGACAAAGGACAACAAGGGCCTTTTCCAGCAAGTTTCCAGCAAGCGGGAGGTGATCCAACACGGCCAGACGCCAGACGGGTTGGGTAACCGTGAGAGGCAGCCAGCGGTCCCGCGGAGCGGCAGCAGGCAACCTCCGGAGGGGACAACAGGACAGCCTGCGTAAAAACGCACCTGGAACGGACGCCGCACTCGGCGTGGACCTCAGACCTGTGACACAAACACATCTGGTAAGGTTTGGGAGGTGGCAGAGCAGATACACACCCCACACACATCCCCATCTCCTCCTCGCTCGCTAGGTTCTTGACAACTCTTCTGTGCACGCAGCTTGGTGACGTTAAAAGGTGCTATTTTTCCTCGTTTATCGAGCTCATCTACCAAAACCGAGTGTTAAAAAGGAACCTGAGGCTGCACGCTTCCAGCATGCACCGAGAAACAGAGCGAGGTACTGCAGGGAGCAGGAGGGAGGTGACAGGGTCCGCCCGTCGCTCGGCAAACGGCTGAAGCTGCAGTGATGGGTTTCGCTTTTTGTCAGCCGGCGCAACAGAAGTTACTGCTTCTCCGTGACCAGCGTTAGCCTTTGGACCAGCTGCTCTCCTAACTCCGCTTCTCACAATAATTCAGGACAAATCTAATTTCCGCATTAAAAAAGTATATTTTCAGACAACTTTATCATAATATGACAAAGCACATGTAAATCTGCAATATTTTAAACTCTGACAAAGCACTGTATCTGCATGTACCAGCCTGCGGCATAGGCTTAACGCTTCTGAAGTAACTGTTTGCAACACGTGCTAAAAACTTAAAATCGGCATCTCTTTTCCTTCTCTTACACGTATCTCAAAAGGAAACTTTTACACTCACGATTGGCATGAAAATATACTGAGATATTTACAGGATTAGAATTAAACAGAGGGGCAAGACCAACAAGAGCCAGGAATGAACACTCCATGTCCTAACACATGGATGACTATTTAGGCCACAGGTTTAAAGAGAAAAAAAAAAAAAAAAGAAAAAAAAGATAACAGCAGAGAGACAACACATATTACTTAATCTGAATTTAAATCAAATTGGCCCAATTTAAGATATAGATTAATCCCTGCAGATACTGTTTTGACTTGCACACGCAGTACGTCAAAGACAACAAGCAATTTTGGTAAATGTCCTCTAAAGTTGAGAAGAATCCCATGTGATTGGCATGTTCATTTGTTTACTATTTAATAGCAAATCCAAGGACAGATGAGAGAGTGAGGTGTGATGAGGATCCTTAAACTCCTCTTCTCAAAAGGACGGCATATCTTAACACACTCCACCCGTCTGCTGTTGGAACACATCGATAGTGTCTTCATCTTCCATCTCCAGCTGTTAGAGTAACAGGGAAACACAAGGCTTGAAATACACTGGTTACACAAGTACTTAGCTCTCTACGCCTAACCGGTACCGGTAACAGAGCACATAAGGTGCAATTCCAATTAACTGATGCAGGAAACGCCTTCCCTCAGTCACTCCAGAGCAGACACCCCATCGTCTCTCCGATCAGAGCATCGCCAACACCAGAATGGTTTTCAGAGGCACGCTTGTCAGTCGGAACAAACTCGGCAGCTTAGCGCCTTCCACAGCCAATCACCCGGTCGGGTGTCTCCTCCGGTCCTTGCCCTGCCGGCCCAACAAACTTCCCACGCTCTCAGCACTGCCGGTGCCAACAGCAACTGCGGCAGCTCCAGTGCCGGCTCTGAACAGGCTGACGCAGAAGGAGGACAGAGCTGCAAACGCCAGCACTTGCCCGGGGTCTTTTCCACACCAGCACTCCCGTGCCGGCTTTCTCCAGACAATCACCTCTTC